AGAGTGCGATGTGATGTACTGATGTGATGATGTGATGTACTGACTGATGTGATGATGTGACGTACTGAGTGCGATGTGATGTACTGATGTGATGTGCTGACTGATGTTATGATGTGATGTACTGACTGATGTGATGTATTGACCATGATGTTATGATGTGACGTAGAGTGCGATGTGATGTACTGATGTGATGATGTGATGTACTGACTGATGTGATGATGTGATGTACTGACTGATGTGATGATGTGATGTACTGACTGATGTGATGATGTGATGTACTGACTGATGTGATGATGTGATGTACTGACTGATGTGATGATGTGATGTACTGACTGATGTGATGATGTGATGTACTGATTGTGATAAGATGATGTGATGTGATGTACTGAGTGCGATGTGATGTACTGACCGTGATGTGATGAGACATACTGAGTGTGATGTGATGTACTGACTGATGTGATGATGTGATGTACTGACTGATGTGATGGAATGTACTGATTGTGATGTGATGACGTGACGTACCGAGTGCTGACTGATGTGATGTACTGACTGATGGGATGATGTGATGTTCTGACTGATGTGATGGAATGTACTGATTGTGATGTGATGATGTAATGTACTGATGTGATGTACTGACTGATGTGATGACGTGACGTACCGAGTGCTGTGTGTGCGGCTGTGCGTGTAGAGAACAGCGTGTGAATAACGAATCGAGTTCCCTTCGCCTTTTCTCTCTGGAATAGTTTAAAATTCGCTTGCTTGTGTAAATACGAACAAAAGATAAACTTATACTCTATTATGGTTAAATTTTGCAATTAATCCGCAGATCACATGCGTGCCCAACCGTGGGGCTTGGTCCGTATGACTCACGGATCAACTACGATCCGTTTAACCACTGGATGTGATGCACTGATTGTGATGTGATGTGGTGACTGACTGATGTGATGAGTGTTTCTTGCAGATTCACTCACATGAGTTTCTTGCGTTCTAATGCTTTTCTGGTGGCGGCAGAGAGGGATCCCTTCACTTTATTATCCTGAAACACACAGACAAAACTCACGAATGAAGCTTTAAAATCCCCTCATCCAACCATCAGATGCTCCGCACAGATCCACAACTCACATTCATCCGTAATATATAAAGAAAAAAAGAAAAATATCAAATCACTAATGTCTAACCACCCAAAAAATATTTTTAAAAACCTATGCCCTGAAAAAAACACAAATCACAAAAAATAAATACAAATATCTAGCCTCCCCACAAATAATAATACAAAGAAACTATCCCGAAAAAAAAAAAAAAAAAATCTAACC